AAAAAAAAAAAGCTCCCTTTTGATACTCTACCTGCCCATAGTCAGTGCGGTTATTTATCCTGTCACTCCCTCTACCGGTCACTGATTTTGTAGATATCTGCACCATGACTGACATGAAAGGGAGCAATTAGGGAAACCATGATGGTCTAAAGATGGTGAACAAAGTTTCTAGGGTCTATGTCTAATACAGCGCTGACTGCTATAGACTGGAATAAATAAAATAATTAAAAGGTGAGGTTTTGGGTGCTCAAACACTTCTTCAAGGGATCTTGCCTTATAGATCTTTCAGGACTGAAGGAAAACAAGGGTCAAGAATTCAGGGAGAACATCAGAAAACTATCTTCATGGAAGAGGATGGAAATGCAGCTAGAGAGTCTGAAATTAACTTCAGACCATAGTCACAATAAGGTTTTGAGGCATAACTTGAAGCGGGCTCAGATCTCTCCCTGTTGTAATTCTCTTCTCTACCAAGAAGGTTGCTTTTCCTCCCGAAACACTGAGTTGAAGTGGAAGACACACCTGATCTCGTGACAGTTCTTCTGCCTCCCAGTTGCTGCAACGCACATGAGGAGACTTGTCAAGCGGGCAGTTGAGGACTTTTTCAGCTAAAGACTTAAGGCTAAGGCAGTTGTGAAGTAGATCCTTCCTTCAGTTTAACAAAGAAAGTAAAACAAAATATTAAAACCAAAACTATACATCCATGCAAATTTGGATGGCCTCATACACGCTGAACCTGCCAGAACACAATGCACATGATGCATGACTCCCACTCAAACAGCACACAGCTGCCTGTCAGCTTCACAGGCCCTCTCCCTCCCCTCTGCTAAAACATCCTTTCTAGACCTAGTAATTATCTTGTGCCTGCAATATGCTAAACAGGCAAGGCTGGGAGTTGGTAACATTTAAGGCTGAAGTGTTTGGCTCTTAACTACCCACTTATAAACTAAAGAGGTTTATCATAGAGTGATGGACCATCTGCCGCAGGGATTCATGAGGAGCATGAGCACCAGGAATGACTCAGAGGAATCCTGGCCACGAGGGACAAGAAGTCCACTCTTGGTGCTAAAAAGGTACAATCAGGTCAGCAAACCCATGCCCCAGATCACTAACAACACACCCATGCATGCATACACTGTACGTGAAGAGTATTCCCAAGTAAAACATCTTATCTTAAGAAGAATGAAGGATGAGAAAATGTCATCATAATCGTAAACTTTTAATGGAAGCATTGTTATTAGAAGAAAAAATTAAGAGCTGGTTTATTTTAGCAATTTTTCAAGAAATCCTACAATTCAACAGTTCCACTTATGTGCCCCCGGCACATGGACTCCACACTTCTAAGCAATGTATTCAAACATCTGTTGACATGGTGATCACTCTCACTGCATTACATCACTGGACCTGGACTTTTTACAAGCTGAAGCATGATACTCAGCAAAGTCCATATGGGTATTGCATGAGAAAACTAACAGACACAATCAGCATTTGAAATCTTAGTAAGGATTTAACTTCCATTAAGACCACAGAATAGAAGCATGACATGTTCTTGGGCTGCAGCTGTCAATGCTCATGCTCTAAAAAACCACTCTGAGAACTCCAGATCTACCTGCCTGGTATCATTCAACATATGCAAATTACTTTTAAAATATTTCCAACTCAAATGATGCCTCAAACAGAGCCGTCTCTGTCTTCAGACACTCACCGCTGTCTCATGGCTAAATACCGGAGATCCATGCTCCCTTTGACTGGAAGACCATAATCATGAAGTAACTTGCAAGCATCTTCCCAGCATCCTACCCCAACTTTCAACACAGCACTATCTGCCATGATGTCCAACAGGGTCTTTGGGATAGTCTGTCCACTGGCAACAAGCCTGGACAACCGAACAAGAATGCAGAGGCCACTGGAAGAAGCCATCTGTAGGAGGGATACAGGATTTGCTTTTCCCTCCACAGATACCTGAAATAAAGACAAAAACCAGAATCTGGGTTACAGTATTATCAGCAATACTGGAGCTGGAACAAATTGCAAAAGAGGCCACTGAAGACAGGAAATACCTTCAGTTTATACAGTCAAGTATTGTTACGCCTCTAAAATTTTACTGAAAATTATATTGTTTCACAGTATTACTGTCCCCCAGCCACTTCTTGCCACACTCCTACAAAAAGAACTTTCCCCCTTTGCCCCTTTCCCCCTATACCTGAGCTGGTGGAAGAAATGAGACACATTTCTTAATCAACATCAGCACAAAGCCACTTGCTACATAAATGTTTATGGCAAACACACTGTTTAATTGTGGCTTATACTAATGACTGTGAGGTGAATAAATTTCCAGCCAAAATAATGGTGAAGCCAGGCTTTATAAATCACTCAAAATCTGTTTTCAGAGTTCACACAGGCAAGCGTACAATCGGAAGAACTTTGCTTTCTGGTGGTCCCAGTGATTTATAGCCACATATCAGTATTATCCTCCTTTTTGGGTTTATTATTCTTAAAAATCTTTTTCTGAAGTATGTAGCTGGATTTAAAACAGTACAAACCCAAGCTACTTCTAGTAAATCACCTTTAGAGATATTACACAAAACACATAATGCTATCTTTAGCCATACAATTATCACTATGTTTAGTATAGCAAATTTATCACAGGAGTTCAGCAAACAAATACAACCAGTGAATTAAAAACTTACAGATGTGTCTTAAATGTGAGAACAATCAAAATTAGCAGCTACTTCACTGCTGTCATGACAGATAATCACACAGGCAGTTTCAATAGTCAGTCCTGTTCAATCTATTCAAGCACAGGAATCACTCCTCCCCTGATGATTTCCCATTGCAACTTGCAATCTAAAGGAGAGGCGCTTCTTGATTACTCACCCACTCACAATCAATTCCAAGCACTGGCCACTTCTCCAGCTCCTTCTTCAGCAAAGGTTCAACACGATCCCACTCCTCCTGCTCTGAAACTATCACTATGTCTGCACCAAGGGTCCCTTCTACCCAGGAAAAGGTGGGAGATCTGAAGAAGGAAAGCACCTCCTTACCCTCTGCCTTATTCAGTTTCTCATCTGCCAAGTTTATAACTGCTTCCTCCCGCTGACTACTAGAGCATGCTTTTCCTTTGCGACGCTGGGATGCCTTCCACAAAACCAGGCCCCCCACTGCAACACCCATCAGGGTCGCCAAAGTAATCGTCACTGCTGTTTGCTTGGGCATCTTTTTATCCCCCTCCTCCCCCCTTCACTTCACTCACTCAAAACAGCATTGTAGGATTTTATCATGACCTGCAAAGAAAAAGAAGAGAGGCAGAAATTAAAGACAACTCAATTAAATGTGTTTAGAGGTATTAAATACACCCACTGGTATTGTATCAAGGTTCTAGCCACAACTTGCAATCCTGACAGAAGGCGAACTGGGTCTCACTTGGTAGACTGGGGGTCAGGGGACAGACTGCTCCAGTGGTGCACTGGGCAGGCACAGGAGACCGAATGCTGCTGGTGATCTCACCACCAGAAACCTTAAAGGGAATCCATTGATTTATACTGGGGCAAGTAGATGTTTCCACAAACTCTCACATTTAAAAAAACAAACAAACAAAAAAACAAACAGGGCTATTAACAACTTACAGCTTAATTTGGAACCATGTCAGCCTAAACCAGGACAAGAGGAGATTACAGCAGAACAAGCTGGTTAGATAGTAGGCATTGTCCACTACATTCACATCCATACTACGGTCACATTGCTCTTCAGGCACTGAAAAGCCTTAAAGCAGCAGTAGCAGCAGCATCTGTTGAATAACACAGCTTTCCCTCCATCATACAAAGCTCAGCTGCCTTTCAGCAAACCGAGATC